AGTTATTTTTCTTTAGTTGCGCTTGTGATATAGAAATTATAAAAGGTTTTCCTTTTTAATAGTTTTTCCCAAGTTAATATTTTATTCATACCGAATATTGTGTTTTTATATATACATATAGGGCATGAAAAGAAAGCCCAATCTGTCCTTTAAAATTAATTGTAGATTAAGTGTTAGGGCATTTAAAAAAGAGAAAGGGGGAAGACAATCATTGTTGAATAAACAGCACAAATACTAGGTTTTGTTTTGGATCTGAATTTAAGCAAATACATTGGTCTTTAACCCCTTAAGGACACCTGACGTGTGACATGTCATGATTCCATTTTATTCCAGAAGTCTGGTCCTTAAGGGATTAAGAGGTTAAATATATATATTTTCCAATAATTGCTATAATTTTATTTGTATAAATATTAGTCTTCAATCAGAAGGTTGTATTGGGTATAATAAATATTAAAGGGAGGGGAGACAGTGGATACAGAAGTTCCAGGAAAAGTGGAAGTCAAAGAATTTTAAATGTATAGTCCAGGGCAGTTCTTTAGAGTGGTTCTAACCGTAGGGTACACTGATTTCAGAGTGCACACTGAGGTAAATTGACAGAGTGAAGGACGTTGAACTTGCTGGTGTGTGTGTGTGTGTGTGTATATATATATATATATATTTTTATATATATATATATATATATATATATATGTATGTGTGTGTGTGTATATACACTTCAGCAGTGTTTCAATATCTATATCATCAGGCTACAGTTAGGCAGAGCTTTACATTTTGTATTAAATAGATAGAAAATATTAAGTTAACTTAAGGGTTGATGAAAGTATGAAAAGAGGGGGTGGTAAGGAAGATAAATAACAGACATGGAAGCTGGAAGGTCGGGGATTTTGGAGATTGCTGGAGAATGTTTGGAATGGAAGAGCAGTCGGGGGAAAAAAAAAATCCCAATGGGGGAAGAAAAATACATATGGTTGCTGTTATGTTGTTGATTAACTTTAGCACTATTGACCTGATGGAAGACCAACAGATAAAGAATGCCACAGACACATTTCTGTTTTGGACCGATTTGAATATCAGGAAGCCAGTAAGTGATATTGGAGAGGCAGTTGGTGACCTGAAATAAGGGATAAGGTAGAGGTTCAGGAGGGAAAGACAGGATATTTTAATGTATTTTTTATTTTTTTTTAATACGGTTACTGGAAGAAAAGAACCAGAAAAGAGTCGTGTCAATTGGGGCAAGGTGTCATTCAACAAAACACATAAAGTAAAAAAAATAAATAAAAAAAATTATTATGAGTAACCCAATAATTAAATTATTGGTATACCGGAGTGCTAATTGTGTAAACCAGAATAACGATTGATCATTCTTGGCAAACCCTTGTCACATTTTGCTTGCAGAAGTCAACTTTTTTTTGGTGGGGGAAGACTATAGATCTTGAACAATGTCCAACATAAGTAATGTAAATGAAGACATGAGGTACATAATACAAATTGCAAACAAAGATAACAAATCTGAACAACCCTGAAACAAACAAAACAAGATACAAATGGAAAGTGTCAAACAAGCAAGAAATGAGTTTGAATATGTCATACCCCACACCAGGGGCACTAATGGTGTAGGTATGAAGAGAAACCACCAAGGGGCCGAGACAATGGCAAATGAAATGGAGCAAAGCTGCTGTCTAAGAGAAGTGTAAGAAAAGACCAGATAGGTTTCTGTCCAGAAAATATTTATGTATTTTCCTGCAACTTAATTTACATAACCTTAGAGGATCTTTGCTATATGTCAAAGGTCAGCAGTATTGCCTAGAATTATGCATACATTTCTATCAAAGGTTGCAGTACCTTTACAATGGGTAAGTGAAAGACTGATACCAAACTGTCACCATTTTGACAATTGACAATTGCAATTGCCCAACAAACATGAGAAATCTAATCATGCAAAGGTCTGTGCTCCCTGGCAATGATTTCCAGTGGCATAGGTCTCTTATCCAGTTACTTTTAAACTGATTGCATATTTGTACACAATGTGTGCATGTTTGGCGCAATCTGTCTCTGATCAAATCTATATGAGTTTGAAAAGTAGTCCTGTTGATATTACCTAATAAGTAATCCAAGACTGAGTTTGGTATTAACTCATAGGATGCACTGGCATTTAATGGTTTTTCTGATCAAAACATTTTGGTTTCCTACAAAATCAATTGTCATTACTCATTTACTTTTATGGTTTTTAAAGAATATGTGCTCTGTTCATACTTGAAGAAAAAAACAAAAAAAAACACATTAGATTTATTACACCCATTCTAGTTGTTAAAGCCTCAAAGGGACAAAATGTATAAATGGGATATTACACTGTTTCCCTCCCGCCATTATTTTTCCTTCTATCCATCCATGCCAGATTCTCACTGAGATATTAAATAGTGTGTCATCAGGAAATACTAGATTTAAACACTTTCATGGATATTTGCGAAACCTAGAAAGGATTCACAAATTCTAAGCCAAAAGAGTTAAGTTGAAATCCTTGCTGAATTGGAAAATTCTAAACTACTCATAGTTTAGTGGATACTATAGGTTTTTATAGTGTATCAATGTTGTGTACATTCACTATTTGTTTATCAGTACTGATTGTCCTGAAGGTTTAGTAAATTACCAGATCATTCAGCCATACACATGCTCCTTTCATCAGGCATTGTTTGAAAATAGACAGCTACTCTCTATGATCTTTCCTGCAGTAAAGTAGGGAAGACCATAGACCCTAATAGTCGGATTTAACTGCTGTCCAACTAAACATGCCTTTATTTGGCTGAAGGTAGGGATGTTTTTTTTTTTTGTTTTTTTTCATGCACTTCATTTAAAATATATATATATATATATATTCCTTGCAAAACTTGATGAAATGATTATTTTATTGAAAATAATTTTCAGGTCACATTTGTTGTTTAATAAATTAACAGGTCACAGCAGCTTTCCACTTGCGATTTATATTTGGAATTGGTAATAGGCATATATGATCAGTTTATCATTTATAACAGTAGGTTGTTTTTTTTTTTTGTTTTTTTTTTTTGCAGTCAAGTTGCATAAAATGTCTCAGAACAGGATTTCCCATTTTATTTTACTTCATTGAGTGTGGATCCAATGTTTTGTTTCTTATTTGAATCCTAATAATATTAAGTGATTTTGCTAAGGTGCAATTTGTTGTTTTCTGTGTGTGTGTTTTTGTGTTTGTAAAGGGATTTTGTACAATGACTTTCTTATGTAACCCTACACAAAAATAAAATTAATAAGTACATGTAGTGTATGGAGGAAATTGCAGATAGACAAATGCAGAAGTGCAGATCAAATTATGCTATTTACACAGACCCAAAATTACCCCTTTTATTTTATTTTTTTAGCAGGTTGACATTAAGGCTAAGCTAACTATCTAAACTTTGGTTTCAGGTATGTTAGCTTAAAATTCAAATTGACAAAGTACTTGCAAATGTTTACCCAAAACGGGGGATACAATTCTCGGTTTCCATTTCAGTGTTTGTGTCCTTAAATTTGGTAAATAACAAGCATTTCATACTGTTTTCACATCACTCATTTTGAATCTTACCAACAGATATGTGTATCAAATTATTTAGAAACTTCCTTTTCTGGGTCTTTTACTGTAGCTTATGGCCTTGTATGCTTTAAAAACCATTGTTTTATGTTTAGAGAATTTCATCAGTTTAGCCAGCAGAGAGCACACTTGCCTAATTGTTAAAAGACTGAAGAGGTCATTCAGCTTTTTACATGACGAATACATTTATGTGCGTATTCAAAGTACACTCATTTTGATTATGGTGAAAAAAAAGAAACTTTCAGAATTCGGGATAAAATATAAAGGGGTATTAGTAAAAAACTGAAGATTGCATATTTAAGATTATGGATCAGGACTCTAAGTCCTATGCTACTAGTCAAGCCTAAAAGTTACTCACCAATGCAAGCCTTGAAGCTTCTCTGTTTTTTTTTTAATTTATTTTTTTTATTAATTTTTTAGCTTTTTTTTTTTTTTTTTTACCCAGTTCTGTTTGCAGGCTCTTTAATTCATTCACTTAGGCCGAATGTAATACCGTTAGTAGATGAATGCTTGCAAAGGCAAACAACACCTGCACTATCCATTTGGGGGAAGATATCTCTTATCACAACATTCTTCTGTCTACGCTGCTGAACGAGATTGGGAATACAGTGATTTGATGAAGGATGTGACTTACTGATGGTCTTGGTTCTTACAGGACCATCCGATCCCTATGCGACCCTCAGATTTAACACTCTAAATGTTGGTGAGAAACTCTCTTCTTAAGTGACTTTCTCATAATTGCAGATGCATAACATAGCTATAAATGACAAAAGAGATTGCAAAACAGTGTTACAACCCTGCTAAACTTTTGAATTCAACTACTGAACTCCGTGTAAGTCGGTGGTTTAACAGAATTTGCTTTAACAAATAGCCACTTTCATTTCAAAGCTGAATGGGTTTTACAGAGCCAAACTGTGTAAATGCCATTAAGTACTTAACAATCTTTAGTAGCATTTTATTGCATCCTTCAGCCACTGCAAAAACTTTACTTTGTGTACCTTTTCTTTTGAAACACTTTAAATAGTTCAGAAAACACAGAAAGCAGAAGTATGCATGACAAACTTTATTCAATGAAAGAAAAATAAATCCAATGTTGTTCTACAAAATGCGGCTATATTCTTAAATAACCAACCTGGTGACGCTTTTGGCATATGCTAACTGGGTTTTAGAGACACATAGAAATATATATTGAACATTGGGTTTCTTACTTGGAATACTGTGTTCCGATACGACACATTAAATGTTAACTTGAATTCTATGCATGGCAAAAATAAAATAATGTGATACCCATGGGATATACAGATAGACATTTATGTAGAAATATGCTTTGTTCTCAAAATTCTATAGTGTTTGAAATATATATCTTTTAATTTGTAAAACATATTAAAGTCAGTCTCCAATGCCATAAATGCTTAACACCTTTTTTGTTGTTGTTTTTATTTTTTTTATTTTTTTTGGTAAGAAAGACCCCAGCCATTCTATTTTGTCATGTTAAGGAAGGATGAACGTCTCATTTGCTGCTGGGTGCTGCGCTGGGATTTACACAGGGTTGGTAGTTGCAGATACATGCTGTGAAGAACTTTATGCTTATTGTTTTAGATGTAGAATCAGAACATTTTAATTCTATTTTTTTCTCGTGCACAGAGGATTGTACTGGCTGACAGCAGCTGCACTTCCCTTCCACCCAATCAAAGTCATCATTGTACCTGTAAAGCACAAGAAAAAACATGGTTAAAGAAAAGGGGGAGGGGGGGGAAAGGTGCTTTATTTAAGATTTACTTAAAACAAAATTCTCTCTTAGCATCCTAAGTGTCTCAATCATTTGAGCAGGTCTCATTCCATGCCCTTTGAAAGTTGGCTCTTTGAGTAGCAGAAGAACAAGTTGTGTTCTTCTGAAGTGTGCTACACCCCCTCCCTTGTCTGCATTTTCAGAGAGCACATTTACTGTCTTTAATATGATTTTTTAAGTCCCTTTAGCCATTAGTTTGCAAATGATTTGACAACTTACCTGGGGTCCACCAGGCACCGGTTGCATACTCCCTTGGAGTCTGCAAGGAGCTTCTGTTAGCTCACCTGTTAGCTAAGCCTTGCCAATGAGCTGCCCCGTCAGGCTTAACTAAATGTAGGAGCTTAACTAAATACAGAGGAGAAGGCAACCAACTGCCAGGTCTCAATGTACATTAGAACCAAAACTACCCTATTATTGGTGAATGCTGTTGTTTAACAGTATTCCAGGCATGGAACTCTCACAAATGTTCACTTGTACACACATTGGACCACTACTGCTTGAGGGAACAGACCGTGATATTTAAGATGCCATCAATACGGAAGTTGATTAGCTACCTAAATTAAGGAACACATAGTTGCATATGCTGAAAGGAGGCAGGCATGTCCATCAAGTTCAGCATTCCTCATATTTGTTTTTTTCTGTTGATTCAAAAGAAGGCAAAAAATCCAATTTGAAGCACTTCCAATTTTGCAACAAACTAGGAAAAAAAAATCCCTCTTTCTTGATCCCAGATTTATCCTTGGATCAAGAAGCTATTACCCTACAGTCAAAAGGTTATATCATTGGGGGGCGTGTCCGACAGCCGAGAGGAACGGACGCATGGAGTGAGAGCTCCCGGTCCGAGACGGCAACAGCTTGATTAATAGCAGCTCTTACCCCCGGCTGACGGCGAGAAACAGGTGTCCCATGGCCCCGGCAAAACAAACGAAGCTGACGGATCCGCCACAGGAAAAAAGACCGGTCACGGCCGGCGCAAGATGGCGGCGGCGAGGAGCTGGAATCCTCACAGGCCTCAAACCCTCCCACAGATTATGAGGAGCAAGGCTACACTGATGCCCCAGTCACAGAAAAGAAGTTGTATGCAATGCTGAAAGATTTCAGGCTCATCCTGCAGTCTGATTTGAAAAAAGCCACAAATGATATTAAGAAAGAAATAGCAGATCTGGGGGAAAGAACAAACATTCTGGAAACCCGAACTGATGACATATGCGCAGCGCAGGACGCCCTGGCAGACACGGTACAACAATTAGTGAGTGAACAGCAGTTCCTGAAGAGGAAATTAGCGGACATGGAAGATCGCTCACGCAGAAACAATATACGCTTTCGTGGAAAGCGTCACGAGAGATCAACTGCCTCAATACCTTACTTCCCTGTGCAAGTCACTGGCGCCGGAGATATCGGACCCAGAATGGCTCATGGACCGAGCCCACAGGCTACCGAAACCGCAAAATCTGCATAAAGATACGCCACGCGACGTGGTCGCTCGCTTCCACTACTACAAGACGAAGGACCATCTACTGCAGGCGGCGAGGAAAATCGCTGTGATGCCTGAACCGTATACAGGTGTTCAACTATACGCAGACCTGTCAGCTATGACAATGGGCAGACGCAGAGAGTTCATCAACGTAACAAAGTCCCTGAGCAACAACGACATACAATATAGATGGGGCTATCCTACAAAACTACTTATATGGAGGAATGCCAAAACGCATACCGTCAATGAACCGGAGGTGGGAATGCGCTTACTGAAAGAATGGGGCCTATTCCCGCTACCAACGAGGGACGCTTCGACTACAGCATCCCCGAAACGACCGCATGCTGACTGGCAGATGGCGGGCTCGCCACAAAGGAAAGAATAGGGCTCCAGGTCGGGACCCAACAAGGACATACCACTAACCCACTGCGAAATTGGACACTAAGAGACACTCTAACCCAATGCTAGCCTCCGCTCTATGACATGCTAATGTAACTGGATTGTGAGTATGACATGCTGAACCTCTTAATGTAACACAATATACGCGAGTCCCTACTGTCCAAGGAGTAAGGCCTTAAGTAGCGGGGATGACCAAACTTGTTAAACCCAGCGGGTGGGGAATCAGGGCAGGTACAAAAGGGGACGGTAGTGACACAACTCTATGATTACTACAGCAAGAAGGAGGTTATAGGGTACGGAAGTCACGACTCAGACAATGTGTATGGTATAGGCTTTGTGACAGCATGGCGTATACAAGGTGGCGAGACGGAGGAGAGGGTACTGTCTGTGACTAAATAGTGGGTCCTGGTTGGACATCTCAGATATGATTGTGGGGTAGGAATAAGTTTACCTAGAGAAAGGCTGTCACGCACTCGGCCGAACCACCCAGGTGCGACCCCAGGATGAGACGTGAGCTGGGTAGAGTTTGCCCGCTCACACCTCACCCACGTAGAGCGCTAGTTCTCTCCATGGTGCTTTGTATATACTTTAGTTATTATTTCTCCCTTCCCGTATTCCTGTCCACTGCCCCTACATTCCCTCCTTTAGGTCCCGGACCAGTAGCATACCACATGTTGCAAGAAGCAAATGACACCCCAAGGCCCCAGCACAGCAAAACACTACACCAGGATCATGGATGACTCTCTGGCAATCCTTACCTTAAACGTTAAGGGTCTCAACAGCCCACATAAAAGGAGACTAGCGGTACAGGAAATGAACAAATCCAAGGCAGCAATTATAGGCCTCCAAGAGACACACTTCTACATTAGAAAACACCCAAAATTCACTATCAAACATTATCCCCAAGGTTACCATGCCATGTCCGACACTAAAGCTAAAGGAGTTGCTATCTATTTCCATAGGGACTGGGCATTCACACCATCCAACCAATTTGCCAGTCGAGACGGGAGAATACTAATATTAGTGGGTTCCCTAAATGGTTTATCGGTGACTATAGCTTCCATATATGCGCCGAACAATAAGCAAAAAACCTTCCTCAGCAAAGTATTTAGGAAAATTTAATTGCGTTCCAGATCCCGATGTCGATATAAAACGAGAGGGGAACAAATTACCACAACAACATTCAATCTCACTAGGCCAACATTTTAGGAAATTATTGCATGGGCATGACTTCTATGACACTTGGAGAGGCTTAACCCGAGCGGGAGGAACTACACGTACTACTCGACGGTCCATAGGACCTACACGAGAATTGATCTCTGCCTACTTGACACCAAAACGTTGCCCTTCGCCATTAAGGCACACATTGGGCCGATCACGTGGTCTGACCATGCCCCATATGTTGTCACCATGCGAATTCCGTACCCAGCTAGGGGTCGAGGCACGTGGCGCCTGAATGAAGGTCTGTTAGATGTGCCGGCACATCTCCAGCGACTACAGGCCCGGGCTGAGGAATTTTTCGCAGGCCACGTTAACTGCTCGTCATCCGACGCTACAAAATGGCTGGCCCATAAGGCAGTCATGAGGGGAGAATTAATCCAAATAGGGGCTAGAACAAAGAGGCTGCACAACACAACATTGGACAAGGTAGAGAAAGACCTGGCCACAGTAGAATCCACCCATAAAACAAACCCCACAATGGCAACACATAAGCGACTGATGTCACTTCGCACAACACTACATAGCCTCAACCTCGCAGCAACAGAACGACACTTGAGGTTTTTGAAGCAATCACACTATGTCATGGGTAATAAAGCTGGGAGAATGTTGGCCAATAAAGCGAAACAAATAAAATTGCAATCTAAAATCCCGTACATAACCTCCACAACTGGGGATAAACTATAGAACCCCCAAGACATAGTGAACGAACTAGCGAAGTACTATGCCTCATTATACCAATTAGAAAAAGATCCCTCCACACACCAACCGATGGAAGACGAGATAGCACGTTTTCTAGATAGAGCGCCCCTAGCCAGTTTAACACAAGCACAATGCACCCAACTAGAGAACCCTTTCACGGAGGACGAAGTAGAAACAGCAATCAAATCCCTCCCCAAATATGAGGCCCCCGGACCAGACGGGATGTCCAACTACTACTACATAAAATTGGCCAAACAACTACTCACGCCTCTCACCAACCTATTTAATCACATAAAAGATGCAGGGATGATGCCCACAGAAATGCTGGAGGCACACATAGTGACGTTACCCAAACCCAACAAACCCCCCACACACTGTGCAAACCTACGTCCAATCTCCCTCTTGAACGCAGACACCAAACTGTATGCCAAACTCCTTGCTTCTAGACTTAAACCAATCCTCTCAGACCTCGTATCGGAAGAGCAAGCGGGCTTCGTCCAGGGGCGTCAAGTAGGGGACAACACTAGACATTTCTTGAACCTGATTGAATGGGCAATTTGATCGCCTACACTGGAGGTATATGTTGCTCACCCTTACCAAAATGGGATTCCCACTAAACTTTAGATCAAGCATAATGGCATTGTATCAAAACCCTTCGGCAAAAGTTTTTAGCACAGGCTTCATATCTAACAGGCTCGCCATACGTAATGGCACCAGGCAAAGCTGTCCCCTCTCCCCCCTAATATTTATCCTATGTTTGGAACCGCTAATAAGGATAGTGAAAAATGACCCCGCTATACATGGGCTGCACACCCCGGGGGGCGTAAAGAAATTAGCTCTGTTTGCCGATGACATACTGTTGTTTGTTACAAAACCGGAGTCCTCCCTTCCCAATCTAATGAGAACGCTGGTAGACTATGGGGAGATATCGTACTATAAAAACAACATAACCAAAACGCAAGCTCTACCAATAAACCTACCAAAACCTACATTAGAAAGGATAAAACCGCAGCATCCCTTTGATTGGCGCACCAACTCTATACAATATTTAGGCGTAAAACTCACCAAATCCCTTCAAACGGTGACCAAAGAAAATCACTACCCCGTGCTAAAGAAAATTAAATCCTCCCTCGAACAGTGGGCTAGCATGGATACCTCCAGGCTAGGACGTATCAACCTAATTAAAATGATGACACTACCACACATCCTATACTTATTCAGAACCCTGCCCATACCCCTCCCGAATGCGCTGCTCAAACAATTCCAAAGCACGGTCAATGCACACATCTGGAAGAGGAAACCCCCGAGAGTGAATAAAGGGTGTCTGGGACTTCCTTATGTCCAAGGTGGACTGGGGATGCCGGACGTTACTGCATACTACAGGGCATCTTTCTTGGCACAGGTACTGCGACTCATTAAGAACCACAACCTCCCCCGTAAACCGCTCTGGCTGTCGTTAGAAAATGTATGCCTAGAGGCACATGACACAGTCCATTACTTGTGGACATGCTCCTCGCCTAAAACATCTGCGGGCACGACCCTGAGATGCTCGATCACCATGCTTAAAGCATGGAAGACCTGGTGTCCGAGGGTGCTGGACCCGGTACGGCTCTTTAGGGAGGCACCCATCACAACATTAGCAGCCTACTCCCCGGGCATACAAGTGGGCAAATGGCTCAACAAGGGAGCGAGATTAGTGAGGGACTTAATGTCAGGAGACGCGGTGAAACCATTCCCTGAATTAAAAGAGGAACTGGGTTTAGACTTGAGAGATCTGTACCTTTATTTAAGAATCAAAAACATAATATTAACCCATGGTAAACAAACAGCCGCTCGAACTGACTCTCCGGCACTCCAACCAAGCCACCTATCTCTGACAAAAGTAGCAAAACCCCTCTCCCTATGTTACAATGCGCTTATCACAGATAACACCCCAGATAAACTGAAATACATGGCAAAATGGGAGCAGGACCTGGGATTTCAAATCTCCCAAGCAGAATGGCAGTCTGCAAGGGCAAATACAAAACAGGCATCGAGTAGCCTCTCGTTATGGGAGGCCTACTGCAAGATAACTATGAGGTGGTATCTGGTACCACAGAGACTAGCGAGTATGTACTCAGGCGCTACGAACTTGTGCTGGAGATGCGAGTCGGACACTGGAACCATGTTACACATGTTCTGGAAATGCCCGTTGCTAGACGGATTCTGGAAACAAATCCAAACCCTGATCTCAAGTAAGACTAGCACTTCCATCCCCTTGCGACCGGAAAAGTACTTACTACATGTTATACCAGACCTAGACACACACCCTCACAAAAAAGTGATTCTAAATATATTAACGGTAGCAAAAGTAGCCTTAGCCGGTAACTGGAAAAGCAAACAAGTTCCTCAGATAGAGGTGATTATCAACAAAATGAATGTGATTAGTATATACGAGAAAATGGCCAGTAAGCTGAAAGGATGCCTAGGAAAATATGTTAAAGAATGGGTATGTTGGGCAGCTACATAATCACTGAATAACAACTAAGACAAACCGACTGCTCGAATCAAATGATCAACCCCCATAGTGGGCCAGTAAGGAGGCACACAGGCGCAAACGTTAGGGGAACAAAGGGGTTAGGGCGTTGAGGTGCTCAGGCGAACACATAGCTTCACCAATCTCACAGGTTACATAATAAAGATGATTAATATTTTACTGCTAGCTGTGGAGCGAAGCTGAGTCCAGGGATTTCCCCCCCCCCCCATTTTTCCTTCTGTATCCCATCCCCTCCCAAGTTAAATAAATTAAATGTACCGCATGTTTCGAAGCTGTATGCATCACATTGAACATCGCCTGACACACAGATTGTTTATTTATTTAATTGATTAATTGATTGAGAAGTACGGCTGTATACAGGACGAAATGTAAAATGTTATCCGCAAATGTTGTTGTGAAGGCGGACTGTAATTGTTTACCATGATATGTGTTGCAAATATCACTCAATAAAAATGATAAATGAGAAAAAAAAGATTATATCATTGAATATTCTGTTTTTTTAAGTATACATCTAGTTGCTGTTTAAACATCTGTATGGTCTCTGATAAAATGGTGATTAAATACAACAGAAGTCACAAGTCCTTACCATGATTCGGATGGGCAATGTCCTGAACACTTGGATAACTGGACTGTAGCTGAGCAGCCTTGCCTTGTGATGTTATGGTTATATGTGTGGGCACTGCAATCACCTGGGAGGAAAGGAACATATTAAACAAGGAACTTTATGTTCTAAAATTTACTTGAGGTAACGAAGTGCCAGAACTGTGAGGGCACTCTAAAAATGGTCTCCACCTGATATTCATACAGATGATAGAGCTACCCCACCGAACCACCATGGATTCAGTTCACCATTCAATGGACTGTCATGAAAGGTAAGCAGTAGAGGGCGGGGTAATCTATCTATCTATCTATCTATTTATCTATCTCTATCCTGAACTGTCTCATTCCTAAATATTTCCCCAGTAATGCAGAGCATTCGGTGGAGTGGAAGAGTAATGTATGTTATTCATTGAATGTCAAACTGAGGCTAAAATATATCAGCTTCCCTTATACCTAAGCCCCACAGTTTCTAGTTTAATTATAAAAAGCACTTATTCATAACTGTTGGATATTGAACACATTTTACAAATCTCTCTAATATATAGATGCTGTGCATCAGTATATTGGAGAATTCTCTTAAACATATTTAAAATACATATATATTGTGGTCAAATACAAATGGACCAAAACAAAAATGAAATCATTTCTTTTTTCCTTTGTCATCACTCGGATGACAATGAAGCTTTTATACCCAGTTGTGCCATTTACAAAAGTCTGTAACTGGTCTGTCATTCACAAAATGTATTGCAGTATTGCAGTATGCAATGATACCTATTTTATTGGACTAACATACTATTTCAAAGACAAGCTTTCGAGAGATTTCCTCTCTTCTTCAGGTCTTAAGCAATGCTGATCAATCTGATAGTTTAACACTCAAAACAACTGATGTTGGAGAAGGGGAGGGAATAGGATTTCGTAAATAGCAGAAGATGTGCCTGTAAGTGAAAGGTGCAGGTTGGCTGAGAATAGCCAGAAAAAGTAAACAAACAGAGGAGAGTCAATAAGCTAGTTAAAAAGAAAAAACAAGAAAACAGCATATATGTATGTATGTAAATTGATCTAAGAATATTGAAAAAGAACTATATAAGACATTAAGATGTGTGTTTATAAAATGTTTTGGTAGTGTGCGAGAAAGCCAGAGTCTACATTAATTTCTGGTGTTGAAATGTGTGATCATTTTCATCTCAAATGTCTGTCGTTCATGAAAATTATCACACATTTCAACACCAGAAATTAAGGCCTTAATGTAGACTCTGGCTTTCTCGCACACTACAAAAACTTTATATAAACACACATCTTAATGTCATATAGTTCTTTTTCAATATTCTTATTTCACCTGTATTGGATCAATTTATATACATACATATATGTAGCTATGTACTTGCATGCCCTGCTCTGCAGTTTGTCTTGTTTTTTTCTCTCTTTTTTTTTATTTTTAACTAGCTTATGGACACCCCATTCACCCCTCCTCCATCACCTTCTCCATCACCTCCTCTAACATCAGTTGTTTTAAGTGTTAAACTCTATCAGATTGATCAGTATTGGTTCAGACCTGAGGAAGAGAGGAAAACTCTCGAAAGCTTGTCTTTAAAATATTATGTTAGTCCAATAGAAAAAGGTATCATTGCATACTTCAATACTCTAGTATTTTGATATCTTGTCTGCTGGACTAATATGGTTAATCCAATATATATATATATTGGATTAACCATATTAGTGGAGATACATACACACAGACACTCTTGAATTGTGTTTCAAAGCTGTTGTATTGAGCAAACTCCAAGGAATCCATGTTTAAAATGGAATAATGAGGCAAAAATTTGATTCTTTGTTGAACTAATTTGCATATGCCCACCCAGAATCCCTTGCAGTAGCAATATCACTATATGTAAATGTAAACACACACACTATTTTATTTATTTTTATGATGCCAGTCATATAACCATCTAGCTGTAATGGTCCCTGTTGTATGGGAGCTTTGACTGCCACAGTTCCACCATGTAGAGCTATGCATCCAAAGGTCCGTCATTCATAGAAAAGACATCATGGCACTTTTATAGATGTTTTAACGATACATTATCAGTGCCATGTATTTCATGGTCAGTCTGAACTCCTTACAGTTATGTTCACGTTCTTCTCATTGACATTTGATATAAAATCCACACAGCCATATTAAAGACTAACTTTATGAAAGTGAAGAATCTGAGACTTCAGGTTCTGTGACAACTAGAGAAATCCCTGCCAATTCTGTTTATCTACAGGATAACTGATCGATTACACATACAACCATACTCCGTAAACAAACAAATTACCCTGGCAATTCTCTTGAACATGAGTCATTTTATTACTTAGTTAATCAGAAACTCAAATTACCTGTTCCTGGTGGGGTTGTAGATATAGTTTCGTCTTTTTCTTTTAGAGAAGAAAAACTGAATTTTAGTAACATACAAATTCTTAAAACATGTAAAAAAAAAAAAGTGTCTGTAGTAGGTGTTTTTTTGCTTTTTTTTGGTTTCACATATTATTATTATTATTATTATTATTATTATTATTATTATTATTATTATTTATATCCTCCTGGGAAGCTAGCAAAAAACTTGTTTCTAATTTCTGATGAATTTTGATGAAAAGGTATAGGAAGTTCCCAGCATCCCAACCTATCACATTACATATCACTGGAAAGCCCAGGATGTCCTCTTTACAATACAGCAGGGATTGATAGACTAGCTCAAAAGAATAGAAGGAGATGCATGTGAACGAAATGCCAAGTATAGAGGACACAAATTAATGGGCTGGATCTCAGGAGGATATAGCGCCAACAAATTCCGCAGCGCTGTACTTCTCCCATATAACAAGAGTACATGTCTAAAACAAAATGTGGTCAATTGGACCTATTTCAGACAATTTTATATAAACATAATAAACATCAGCTGTTTGGTCGTTCTTGTTTGAATTTCTGAATGGTACACTATGGACATTAGTTCCAAGGCATGTATGTGATGGTATCACACTCTTGAAACATATTGTGAAATGTGAAAGACATGCCAAATTTTAATTGGACAGACTATGCTGGAATGTGTCGTTTTCTTGTTAGAGGTAGGCAAACACATGCATTATAAGTATCTACAAGGTAACAAAGAACAAGTGTTAGAAGGGTGCTTTAACCACCTCTGTTTTAGCCATGTTATAACATAAAAAGAACATTGAAGGAGCTCTCTGCTATAGCCATTTTAAATTTAAACCCACAAACAATATACAATTTCCTTACCATGGTGGGTTGTGGTTGGGATGGTAGAAGGGGAGGTAATGTTGACAGTGCTAAAGGCAGTGGCAGATGTGGTTGTGGAGTGATAGGTTGTTTTTGTGGTTTCTGGTTGTGTAGTTACAGTGGAAGTTTGTGTTGTGGTAGGTGTGAGTGTTATAGGTGTAGACACAGATATAGTGGAGCTTATTATGGTAGAGTTTGCTATAGATGTGGTGGTGGTTGTTAAAGGTGTAGTAATTGGTATTGAAGAACTTGTTACAATCATTGATGTTGGTGTGACAGTTGTACTGCTAGGTAGGGTGGTGATCGGTGGGCTAGATGTGGCAGGTATTGGAGTAGGAGTAGATGCGAAAAAATGCGTAGTAAATGTATTTGGAGGGGTGGATGTGGCAGGTACTGGAGTAGGTGTGGAAGTGAGGAAGGTTGTAGTCACTGGCGTGGTTGATGAGCTTGTCAATGGAGAAGTGAATGTTGCAGATGTAGAAGCTGTTTCAGGTGCAATAGTTTCTGTATAAACAAAAAAACATAGTCATATAGTGATAACATCCTTACATACCCCAAAATAGGCTGACCATACCATGGTTAATTGTTTATATAAGGCATTGTCAATACTGATTTTCAAAATGTCCTACATTACATGCTATTAAAAATGAATATGTTGTAAAAGTTCAGTGATATACTTCAGATTCTGACAAATTGATTTAGTCTACACATAGTCTTATATTTACCTACAGATTTCAGTTCATGACACATACAATGTGCCATTTCTAAAATCATGATTCCCTAAATAGACGTTTTAGAATTTACTATTAGCAATAACTCTTAGATTAGCTGTTTGTAGACATGCACAGTAAATTGACTCTTACACTGTCAGCATTTATCTAAATATCTTAAAAAGTGATATTGAAAAAAATGAGTTGCACTTAGAATTTGTGACATTTCATGAATTCTTTCAAATTGCAATTCTGGTGGCTATCACTGAGAAACAATATTAACATTTATATAGTGCCAACATATTTTCCAGTGCTTTACGATAATACAGTAGGGATATATAACAGCAAGCCCTTGACAGACAACATAGTAGATACCAAATAAAAGAGAGCCCTGCTCAAATGAGCTTACAATCTAGAAGGATTTGAGCCTGAAAAAAGACTGGAAAGTGCAACTCATGGGTGGGCTGCAGAGTGCAATTCCTATAATGGGTGGGCACATCTGGAAAAGGGACAGTCCTGCCTAGAAAAGGGGCGGGTCAGTCTAGAAAAGGGTGGGGCCCACCTATAACTGGCAGCGTCCACCAATTGACAGCCTGCCATGCTGCACCCCAGCCTTTAGGGCCATAGAGAGAGTGCTGCTGAACTGTTCCTTGCATGACAATAGTGCTCGGTGCACAGCACAAGCACATTTAATAATGTGCTGTCTGTGGACAGTTCCCTCTTGTCCCCAGATGATGGACACCAAGGAACTAAAGCGGGACAGGACAGGACAGGACCTCAAAACCAAGACAATCCAGTTGAAGGGGAACTGTTGGAAGTCCAGCTACAGTGTCTGCCTAATTAAGCTTGATAAAGTGGTGTGTGAAGGAACCATATTGTTGAAAGTGTTAGAGGTAAGTAGCTACATAATTTGGAGGCGCGCTAGCTGTGATGTGCATATAAAGTAACTAGAGAGCTAAGGTGCTTGGGGTGATAGGTGTTCTGTTGTCCTGAATTGACATAGAAGGTTGAGTATTCAGTCAAGGAAAGATAACAAGTTTTTTTTTAAATTACACATTTGACACATTTAATTCTAGCAGAATGGCAGCCCATAAATAAGGTACAAGGATATATTTTTTTTTTTACAGAAATAAAATTCTATGTCCAATGAGCTATGATGTCAAAGAAGAGTACTACTTTTGCATCTTGTTCTGTGCATACTATTGCTGTGATTAACAGATTAATGTGAACTTCTACTCAGCATTGTAATAGTCCAGCAAGCGAGCAGAGAACAAACCACATATGCATTCACTTTCTCTTTGCCAAAGTTTGCTTGGCTCTTAATTCAGCTGTTGAATCTGCTTGCAATACCCAGAAGCATCATTTTATGATGTTCATTACAAATTATGGATACTTTATTTTGTGGTCTGCATATAGAGTACTGTCACATGTGTTGATGACCATGCATGCACCGCTGCTTCCAAAGCATTATTTTGCTCAGTATACTTATTGGGGTATTCTTACTTTACATGGTAGATCATCATATATATCCACGAATTGCTCCAAATTGTGTGCCTTTCAGACAAGGATTGTACCAAGTGCATTTTGGTGACAGCTGCATTGGTCAACGAGTGGGAATTTGTATACTTATACAGTAAAAATAAATAGGTGTTAGCTGTATCCACTATTGCATCTCACTATTAACCCCTTAAGGACCAAACTTCTGGAATAAAAATGAATCATGACATGTCACACATGTCATGTGTCCTTAAAGGGTTAATACTATCACTGGCCAATATATTTTCTGATTGTATTTTTTTTTTTCTACAGCCATATCGTGTCCATGATTATCTGGACATTGAATTTTCACTGCCATATGGTGTACTTGGGGACACCATTAGAAAGTGAATGGAGCAGTTACATGAGGAATGTTCAATTGAACAGGTTTTTTGTCCATGCTTCAAATTGATTAAATGCTTTTATCCATTACCATAGTGGTAAACCACTTGATGGACATATCTGGAATTTAAGATTTTGGAGAGGGTATTCTTGGATACCAATGACATGCATGTTTCCCCGAGGAAGAGGTTAAGCATACAATCTCTGTCAGATGTGTTAAATGGTACTTAAACACCCTCCAAGTCTCCTCTAACAGCAAAATAACTTTTCACATATAGGATATATCTTCATAGCACAGTCTTGTAAGACATTTTAATGTCAACACTGATGGTGAGGATGCATACGTGAAGACTTGCTCATCTTTAAAATAAAGAAGCTGTATTTTGGAATCGATGTATGCTCTGTTTGCTATTATGTTTTTCCTGATCATAGTTGGATTGATCAGTTATGAATCTTATTGAATTTGACCTTAGAACTCTCAGTAACTGCACTATATAAATCCTATATTTTTAGAACTTCTATTGAAGAAACCTACTGTAAGGTGTGCAAATTACTAACTCTGTAATTCCCAAACATTACAATACATTCAAAGTATTACCATGTTTGACACATCTAAAACTAGAAATAACTAGAACACAAATTAAAAAGTATTTTGTAGAGTCAAGTTACTTACCAATAGTTATAAAACTTACCTGAAAAAGTTGTTGAAGATCCAATTTCTTGAGAAACTGGTGTTATTGAGGAGGGCGATATAATATTAGGTGTTTCATAAGTAGATGATGGATAACTTATGTGTATGGCAGAAGTACTAAGTGAGTGAGTTTTGATTGTTGTAGGGGTAGAGACTGTGGTTGTTGGAGGTGTTGGAGTTGTGCTTGGTGTTTGTGTTGTGGTACTTGGAGGAGTAGGGGTAGTTGTGCTAGTGGTTGTTGGAGGTGTTGGAGTTGTACTTGGAGGAGAAGAGGTAGTTGTGCTAGTGGTTGTGGGAGGTGTTGGAGTTGTACTTGGAGGAGTTGGGGTAGTTGTGCTAGTGGTTGTGGGAGGTGTTGGAGTTGTGCTTGGTGTTTGTGTTGTTGTACTTAGAGGTGTGGGGATAGTTGTGCTAGTGGTTGTGGGAGTTGTGCTTGGTGTTTGTGTTGTGGTACTTGGAGGTGTGGGGGTAGTTGTGCTAGTGGTTGTGGGAGGTGTTGGAGTTGTGCTTGGTGTTTGTGTTGATGTACTTGGAGGAGTGGGGGTAGTTGTGCTAGTGGTTGTGGGAGGTGTTCGTGTTGTGGTACTTGGAGAAGTAGGGGTAGTTGTTCTAGTGTTTGTTGGAGGTGTTGGAGTTGTACTTGGAGGAGTTGGGGAAGTTGTGCTAGTGGTTGTGGGAGGTGTTGGAGTTGTGCTTGGTGTTTGTATTGTAGTACTTGGAGGAGTGGGGGTGATTATGCCAATTGTTGTTGGAGGTGTTGGAGTTGTGCTTGGTGTTTGTGTTGTAGTACTTGGAGGAGGGGGGGTAATTGTGCTAGTTGTTGTTGGAGGAGTTGGAGTTGTGCTTGGTGTTTGTGTTGTTGAACTTTGAGGAGCAGGGGTAGTTGTGCTAGTGGTTGTGGGAGGTGTTCGTGTTGTGGTACTTGGAGGAGTAGGGGTAGTTGTGCTAGTGGTTGTTGGAGGTGTTGGAGTTGTGCTTGGTGTATGTGTTGTGGTACTTGCAGGAGTAGGGGTACTTGTGCTAGTTATTGTTGGAGGTGTTAGAGTTGTACTTGGAAGAGTAGAGGTAGGTGTGCTAGTGGTTGTGGGAGGTGTTGGAGTTGTGCTTGGTGTTTGTGTTGTTGTACTTGGAGGTGTGGGGGTAGTTGTGCTAGTTGTTGTTGGAGGTGTTGGAGTTGTGCTTGGTGTTTGTGTTGTTGAACTTTGAGGAGAGGGGGTAGTTGTGCTAGTGGTTGTGGGAGGTGTTCGTGTTGTGGTACTTGGAGGAGTAGAGGTAGTTGTGCTAGTTGTTGTTGGAGGTGTTGGAGTTGTGCTTGGTGTTTGTGTTGTTGAACTTTGAGGAGTAGGGGTAGTTGTGCTAGTGGTTGTTGGAGGTGTTGGAGTTGTGCTTGGTGTTTGTGTTGTACTTGGAGGTGTGGGGGTAGTTGTGCTAGTGGATGTGGGAGGTGTTGGAGTTGTGCTTGGTGTTTGTGTTGTACTTGGAGGTGTGGGGGTAGTTGTGCTAGTTGTTGTTGGAGGAGTTGGAGTTGTGCTTGGTGTTTGTGTTGTTGAACTTTGAGGAGTAGGGGTAGTTGTGCTAGTGGTTGTGGGAGGTGTTCGTGTTGTGGTACTTGGAGGAGTAGGGGTAGTTGTGCTAGTGGTTGTTGGAGAAGTTGGAGTTGTACTTGGAGGAGTAGGGGTAGTTGTGCTAGTGGTTGTGGGACGTGTTGGAGTTGTGCTCGGTGTTTGTGTTGTTGAACTTTGAGGAGTAGGGGTAGTTGTGCTAGTGGTTGTGGGAGGTGTTTGAGTTGTGCTTGGTGTATGTGTTGTGGTACTTGGAGGAGTAGGGGTACTTGTGCTAGTTGTTGTGGGAGGTGTTTGTGTTGTGGTACTTGGAGGAGTGGGGGTAGTTGTGCTAGTGGTGGTTGGAGGTGTTGGAGTTGTGCTTGTTGTTTGTGTTGTTGAACTTTCAGGAGTGGCGGTAGTTGTGCTAGTGGTTGTGGGAGGTGTCCGTGTTGTGGTACTTGGAGGAGTAGGGGTAGATGTGCTAGTGGTTGTTGGAGTTGTTGGAGTTGTACTTGCAGGAGTTGGGGTAGTTGTGCTAGTGGTTGTGGGAGGTGTTGGAGTTGTGCTTGGTGTTTGTGTTGTACTTGGAGGTGTGGGAGTAGTTGTGCTAGTTGTTGTTGGAGGTGTTGGAGTTGTGCTTGGTATTTGTGTTGATGAACTTTGAGGAGTGGGGGTAGTTGTTCTAGTGGTTGTGGGAGGTGTTCGTGTTGAGGTACTTGGAGGAGTAGGGGTAGTTGTGCTAGTGGTTGTGGGAGGTGTTGGAGTTGTGCTTGGTGTTTGTGTTGTTGAACTTTGAGGAGTGGGGGTAGTTGTGCTAGTGGTTGTGCTTGGTGTATGTGTTGTAGTACTTGGAGGAGTAGGGGTAGTTGTGCTAGTTGTTGTTGGAGGTGTTGGAGTTGTAGTTGGAGGAGTTGGGGTAGTTGTGCTAGAGGTTGTGGGAGGTGTTGGAGTTGTGCTTGGTGTTTGTGTTGTACTTGGAGGTGTGGGGGTAGTTGTGCTAGTTGTTGTTGGAGGAGTTGGAGTTGTGCTTGGTGTTTGTGTTGTTGAACTTTGAGGAGTGGGGGTAGTTGTGCTAGTGGTTGTGGGAGGTGTTCGTGTTGTGGTACTTGGAGGAGTAGGGGTAGTTGTGCTAGTGGTTGTTGGAGGTGTTGGAGTTGTACTTGTAGGAGTTGGGGTAGTTGTGCTAGTGGTTGTGGGAGGTGTTGGAGTTGAGCTTGGTGTTTGTGTTGTTGAACTTGGAGGAGTGGGGGTAGTTGTGCTAGTGGTTGTGGGAGGTGTTCGTGTTGTGGTACTTGGAGAAGTAGGGGTAGTTGTTCTAGTGGTTGTTGGAGGTGTTAGAGTTGTACTTGGAGGAGTTGGGGTAGTTGTGCTAGTGGTTGTGGGAGGTGTTGGAGTTGTGCTTGGTGTTTGTGTTGTAGTACTTGGAGGAGTTGGGGTGATTATGCCAATTGTTGTTGGAGTTGTGCTTGGTGTTTGTGTTGTAGTACTTGGAGGAGTGGGGGTAATTGTGCTAGTTGTTGTTGGAGGAGTTGGAGTTGTGCTTGGTGTTTGTGTTGTGGTACTTGGAGGAGTAGGGGTAGTTGTGCTAGTTGTTGTTGGAGGTGTTGGAGTTGTGCTTGGTGTTTGTGTTGTTGAACTTTGAGGAGTAGCGGTAGTTGTGCTAGTTGTTGTGGGAGATGTTCGTGTTGTGGTACTTGGAGGAGTAGGGGTAGTTGTGCTAGTTGTTGTTGGAGGTGTTGGAGTTGTGCTTGGTGTTTGTGTTGTTGAACTTTGAGGAGTGGGGGTAGTTGTGCTAGTGGTTGTGGGAGGTGTTCGTGTTGTGGTACTTGGAGGAGTGGGGGTAGTTGTGCTAGTGGTTGTGGGAGGTGTTGGAGTTGTGCTTGGTGTTTGTGTTGTACTTGGAGGTGTGGGGGTAGTTGTGCTAGATGTTGTTGGAGGAGTTGGAGTTGTTCTTGGTGTTTGTGTTGTTGAACTTTGAGGAGTGGAGGTAGTTGTGCTAGTGGTTGTGGGAGGTGTTCGTGTTGTGGTACTTGGAGGAGTAGGGGTAGTTGTGCTAGTTGTTGTTGGAGGTGTTGGAGTTGTGCTTGGTGTTTGTGTTGTTGAACTTTGAGGAGTGGCGGTAGTTGTGCTAGTTGTTGTGGGAGGTGTTCGTGTTGTTGTACTTGGAGGAGTAGGGGTAGATGTGCTAGTGGTTGTTGGAGTTGTTGGAGTTGTACTTGGAGGAGTTGAGGTAGTTGTGCTAGTGGTTGTGGGAGGTGTTGGAGTTGTGCTTGGTGTTTGTGTTGTACTTGGCGGTGTGGGGGTAGTTGTGCTAGTTGTTGTTGGAGGAGTTGGAGTTGTGCTTGGTGTTTGTGTTGTTGAACTTTGAGGAGTGGGGGTAGTTGTGCTAGTGGTTGTGGGAGGTGTTGTGGTACTTGGAGGAGTAGGGGTAGTTGTGCTAGTTGTTGTGGGAGGTGTTGGAGTTGTGCTTGGTGTTTGTGTTGTTGAACTTTGAGGAGTGGGGGTAGTTGTGCTAGTGGTTGTGCTTGGTGTATGTGTTGTAGTACTTGGAGGAGTAGGGGTAGTGGTGCTAGTTGTTGTTGGAGGTGTTGGAGTTGTAGTTGGAGGAGTTGGGGTAGTTGTGCTAGAGGTTGTGGGAGGTGTTGGAGTTGTGCTTGGTGTTTGTGTTGTACTTGGAGGTGTGGGGGTAGTTGTGCTAGTTGTTGTTGGAGGAGTTGGAGTTGTGCTTGGTGTTTGTGTTGTTGAACTTTGAGGAGTGAGGGTAGTTGTGCTAGTGGTTGTGGGAGGTGTTCGTGTTGTGGTACTTGGAGGAGTAGGGGTAGTTGTGCTAGTGGTTGTTGGAGGTGTTGGAGTTGTACTTGGAGGAGTTGGGGTAGTTGTGCTAGTGGTTGTGGGAGGTGTTGGAGTTGAGCTTGGTGTTTGTGTTGTTGAACTTTGAGGAGTGGGGGTACTTGTGCTAGTGGTTGTGGGAGGTGTTCGTGTTGTGGTACTCGGAGAAGTAGGGGTAGTTGTTCTAGTGGTTGTTGGAGGTGTTGGAGTTGTACTTGGAGGAGTTGGGGTAGTTGTGCTAGTGGTTGTGGGAGGTGTTGGAGTTGAGCTTGGTGTTTGTGTTGTTGAACTTGGAGGAGTGGGGGTAGTTGTGCTAGATGTTGTTGGAGGAGTTGGAGTTGTGCTTGGTGTTTGTGTTGTTGAACTTTGAGGAGTGGGGGTAGTTGTGCTAGTGGTTGTGGGAGGTGTTCGTGTTGTGGTACTTGGAGGAGTAGGGGTAGTTGTGCTAGTGGTTGTTGGAGGTGTTGGAGTTGTACTTGGAGGAGTTGGGGTGGTTGTGCTAGTGGTTGTGGGAGGTGTTGGAGTTGAGCTTGGTGTTTGTGTTGTTGAACTTGCAGGAGTGGGGGTAGTTGTGCTAGTGGTTGTGGGAGGTGTTCGTGTTGTGGTACTTGGAGAAGTAGGGGTAGTTGTTCTAGTGGTTGTGGGAGGTGTTGGAGTTGTGCTTGGTGTTTGTGTTGTAGTACTTGGAGGAGTGGGGGTGATTATGCCAATTGTTGTTGGAGTTGTGCTTGGTGTTTGTGTTGTAGTAATTGGAGGAGTGGGGGTAATTGTGCTAGTTGTTGTTGGAGAAGTTGGAGTTGTGCTTGGTGTTTGTGTTGTTGAACTTTGAGGAGTGGGGTTAGTTGTGCTAGTGGTTGTGGGAGGTGTTCGTGTTGTGGTACTTGGAGGAGTAGGGGTAGTTGTGCTAGTGGTTGTTGGAGTTGTTGGAGTTGTGCTTGGTGTATGTGTTGTGGTACTTGGAGGAGTAGGGGTACTTGTGCTAGTTATTGTTGGAGGTGTTTGAGTTGTACTTGGAAGAGTAGAGGTAGGTGTGCTAGTTGTTGTTGGAGGAGTTGGAGTTGTGCTTGGTGTTTGTGTTGTTGAACTTTGAGGAGTGGGGGTAGTTGTGCTAGTGGTTGTGGGAGGTGTTGTGGTACTTGGAGGAGTAGGGGTAGTTGTGCCAGTGGTTGTGGGAGGTGTTGGAGTTGTGCTTGGTGTTTGTGTTGTTGAACTTTGAGGAGAGGGGGTAGTTGTGCTAGTGGTTGTGCTTGGTGTATGTGTTGTAGTACTTGGAGGAGTAGGGGTAGTTGTGCTAGTTGTTGTTGGAGGTGTTGGAGTTGTAGTTGGAGGAGTTGGGGTAGTTGAGCTAGAGGTTGTGGGAGGTGTTGGAGTTGTGCTTGGTGTTTGTGTTGTACTTGGAGGTGTGGGGGTAGTTGTGCTAGTTGTTGTTGGAGGAGTTGGAGTTGAGCTTGGTGTTTGTGTTGTTGAACTTGGAGATGTGGGGGTAGTTGTTCTAGTGGTTGTTGGAGGTGTTGGAGTTGTACTTGGAGGAGTTGGGGTAGTTGTGCTAGTGGTTGTGGGAGGTGTTGGAGTTGAGCTTGGTGTTTGTGTTGTTGAAATTGGAGGAGTGGGGGTAGTTGTGCTAGTGGTTGTGGGAGGTGTTCGTGTTGTGGTACTCGGAGAAGTAGGGGTAGTTGTTCTAGTGGTTGTTGGAGGTGTTGGAGTTGTAATTGGAGGAGTTGGGGTAGTTGTGCTAGTGGTTGTGGGAGGTGTTGGAGTTGAGCTTGGTGTTTGTGTTGTTGAACTTGGAGGAGTGGGGGTAGTTGTGCTAGTGGTTGTGGGAGGTGTTCGTGTTGTGGTACTCGGAGAAGTAGGGGTAGTTGTTCTAGTGGTTGTTGGAAGTGTTGGAGTTGTACTTGGAGGAGTTGGGGTAGTTGTGCTAGTGGTTGTTGGAGGTGTTGGAGTTGTGCTTGGTGTTTGTGTTGTGGTACTTGGAGGAGTAGGGGTACTTGTGCTAGTTATTGTTGGAGGTGTTCGAGTTGTACTTGGAAGAGTAGAGGTAGGTGTGCTAGTGGTTGTGGGAGGTGTTGGAGTTGTGCTTGGTGTTTGTGTTGTACTTGGAGGTGTGGGGGTAGTTGTGCTAGTTGTTGTTGGAGGAGTTGGAGTTGTGCTTGGTGTTTGTGTTGTTGAACTTTGAGGAGTGGGGGTAGTTGTGCTAGTGGTTGTGGGAGGTGTTCGTGTTGTGGTACTTGGAGGAGTAGGGGTAGTTGTGCTAGTTGTTGTTGGAGGTGTTGGAGTTGTGCTTGGTGTTTGTGTTGTTGAACTTTGAGGAGTGGCGGTAGTTGTGCTAGTTGTTGTGGGAGGTGTTCGTGTTGTTGTACTTGGAGGAGTAGGGGTAGATGTGCTAGTGGTTGTTGGAGTTGTTGGAGTTGTACTTGGAGGAGTTGAGGTAGTTGTGCTAGTGGTTGTGGGAGGTGTTGGAGTTGTGCTTGGTGTTTGTGTTGTACTTGGCGGTGTGGGGGTAGTTGTGCTAGTTGTTGTTGGAGGAGTTGGAGTTGTGCTTGGTGTTTGTGTTGTTGAACTTTGAGGAGTGGGGGTAGTTGTGCTAGTGGTTGTGGGAGGTGTTCGTGTTGTGGTACTTGGAGGAGTAGGGGTAGTTGTGCTAGTGGTTGTGGGAGGTGTTGGAGTTGTGCTTGGTGTTTGTATTGTTGAACTTTGAGGAGTGGGGGTAGTTCTGCTAGTGGTTGTGCTTGGTGTATGTGTTGTAGTACTTGGAGGAGTAGGGGTAGTTGTGCTAGTTGTTGTTGGAGGTGTTGGAGTTGTAGTTGGAGGAGTTGGGGTAGTTGTGCTAGTGGTTGTGGGAGGTGTTGGAGTTGTTCTTGGTGTTTGTGTTGTTGAACTTTGAGGAGTGGGGGTAGTTGTGCTAGTGGTTGTGGGAGGTGTTCGTGTTGTGGTACTTGGAGGAGTAGGGGTAGTTGTGCTAGTGGTTGTTGGAGTTGTTGGAGTTGTACTTGGAGGAGTTGGGGTAGTTGTGCTAGTGGTTAAGGGAGGTGTTGGAGTTGTGCTTGGTGTTTGTGTTGTACTTGGAGGTGTGGGGGTAGTTGTGCTAGTTGTTGTTGGAGGAGTTGGAGTTGTGCTTGGTGTTTGTGTTGTTGAACTTTGAGGAGTGGGGGTAGTTGTGCTAGTGGTTGTGGGAGGTGTTCGTGTTGTGGTACTTGGAGGAGTAGGGGTAGTTGTGCTAGTTGTTGTTGGAGGTGTTGGAGTTGTGCTTGGTGTTTGTGTTGTTGAACTTTGAGGAGTGGCGGTAGTTGTGCTAGTGGTTGTGGGAGGTGTTCGTGTTGTTGTACTTGGAGGAGTAGGGGTAGATGTGCTAGTGGTTGTTGGAGTTGTTGGAGTTGTACTTGGAGGAGTAGGGGTAGTTGTGCTAGTTGTTGTTGGAGGTGTTGGAGTTGTGCTTGGTGTTTGTGTTGTTGAACTTTGAGGAGTGGCGGTAGTTGTGCTAGTGGTTGTGGGAGGTGTTCGTGTTGTTGTACTTGGAGGAGTAGGGGTAGATGTGCTAGTGGTTGTTGGAGTTGTTGGAGTTGTACTTGGAGGAGTTGGGGTAGTTGTGCTAGTGGTTGTGGGAGGTGTTCGTGTTGTGGTACTTGGAGGAGTAGGGGTAGTTGTGCTAGTGGTTGTGGGAGGTGTTGGAGTTGTGCTTGGTGTTTGTGTTGTTGAACTTTGAGGAGTGGGGGTAGTTGTGCTAGTGGTTGTGCTTGGTGTATGTGTTGTAGTAGCCCCGGTGGAGTAGGGTGGTATTGTGCTGGTTGTTGTTGGAGGTGTTGGGTTGTAGTTGGAGGAGTTGGGGTGGTTGTGCTGCTAGTGGTTGTGGGAGGTGTTGGTGTTGTGCTTGGTGTTTGTGTTGTACTTGGAGGTGTGGGGTAGTTGTGCTGGTTGTTGTTGGAGGAGTTGGAGTTGTGCTTGGTGTTTGTGTTGTTGAACTTTGAGGAGTGGGGGTAGTTGTGCTAGTGGTTGTGGGAGGTGTTGTGGTACTTGGAGGAGTAGGGGTAGTTGTGCTAGTTGTTGTGGGAGGTGTTGGAGTTGTGCTTGGTGTTTGTGTTGTTGAACTTTGAGGAGTGGCGGTAGTTGTGCTAGTGGTTGTGGGAGGTGTTCGTGTTGTTGTACTTGGAGGAGTAGGGGTAGATGTGCTAGTGGTTGTTGGAGTTGTTGGAGTTGTACTTGGAGGAGTTGGGGTAGTTGTGCTAGTGGTTGTGGGAGGTGTTGGAGTTGTGCTTGGTGTTTGTGTTGTACTTGGAGGTGTGGGGGTAGTTGTGCTAGTTGTTGTTGGAGGAGTTGGAGTTCTGCTTGGTGTTTGTGTTGTTGAACTTTGAGGAGTTGGGGTAGTTGTGCTAGTGGTTGTGGGAGGTGTTGGAGTTGTGCTTGGTGTTTGTGTTGTACTTGGAGGTGTGGGGGTAGTTGTGCTAGTTGTTGTTGGAGGAGTTGGAGTTGTGCTTGGTGTTTGTGTTGTTGAACTTTGAGGAGTTGGGGTAGTTGTGCTAGTGGTTGTGGGAGGTGTTGGAGTTGTGCTTGGTGTTTGTGTTGTACTTGGAGGTGTGGGGGTAGTTGTGCTAGTTGTTGTTGGAGGAGTTGTAGTTGTGCTTGGTGTTTGTATTGTTGAACTTTGAGGAGTGGGGGTAGTTGTGCTAGTGGTTGTGGGAGGTGTTCGTGTTGTGGTACTTGGAGGAGTGGGGGTAGTTGTGCTAGTGGTTGTGGGAGGTGTTGGAGTTGTGCTTGGTGTTTGTGTTGTAGTTGGAGGTGTGGGGGTAGTTGTGCTAGTTGTTGTTGGAGGTTGGGTTCTGCTTGGTGTTTGTGTTGTTGAACTTTGAGGAGTTGGGGTGGTTGTGTGCTGAGTGGTTGTGGGAGGGTGTTGGGTTGTGCTTGGTGTTTTGTGTTGTACTTGGAGGTGTGGGGTGGTTGTGCTAGTTGTTGTTGGAGGTTGGAGTTGTGCTTGGTGTTTGTGTTGTTGAACTTTGAGGAGTGGGGGTAGTTATTGTGAGTGGTTTGTGGGAGGTGTTAGGTGTTGTGGTACTTGGAGGTTAGGTGTAGTTGTGCTGGTGGTTGTGGGAGGTGTTGGAGTTGTGCTTGGTGTTTGTGTTGTACTTGGAGGTGTGGGGGTAGTTGTGCTAGTTGTTGTTGGAGGAGTTGTAGTTGTGCTTGGTGTTTGTATTGTTGAACTTTGAGGAGTGGGGGTAGTTGTGCTAGTGGTTGTTGGAGGTGTTCGTGTTGTGGTACTTGGAGGAGTAGGGGTAGTTGTGCTAGTGGTTGTGGGAGGTGTTGGAGTTGTGCTTGGTGTTTGTGTTGTTGAACTTTGAGGAGTGGGGGTAGTTCTGCTAGTGGTTGTGCTTGGTGTATGTGTTGTAGTACTTGGAGGAGTAGGGGTAGTTGTGCTAGTTGTTGTTGGAGGTGTTGGAGTTGTAGTTGGAGGAGTTGGGGTAGTTGTGCTAGTGGTTGTGGGAGGTGTTGGCGTTGTGCTTGGTGTATGTGTTGTGGTACTTGGAGGAGTAGGGGTACTTGTGCTAGTTATAGTTGGAGGTGTTAGAGTTGTACTTGGAAGAGTAGAGGTAGGTGTGCTAGTGGTTGTGGGAGGTGTTGGAGTTGTGCTTGGTGTTTGTGTTGTTGTACTTGGAGGTGTGGGGGTAGTTGTGCTAGTTGTTGTTGGAGGTGTTGGAGTTGTGCTTGGTGTTTGTGTTGTTGTACTTGGAGGTGTGGGGGTAGTTGTGCTAGTTGTTGTTGGAGGTGTTGGAGTTGTGCTTGGTGTTTGTGTTGTTGATCTTTGAGGAGTGGGGGTAGTTGTGCTAGTGGTTGTGGGAGGTGTTCGTGTTGTGGTACTTGGAGGAGTAGGGGTAGTTGTGCTAGTTGTTGTTGGAGGTGTTGGAGTTGTGCTTGGTGTTTGTGTTGTTGAACTTTGAGGTGTGGCGGTAGTTGTGCTAGTGGTTGTGGGAGGTGTTCGTGTTGTGGTACTTGAAAGAGTAGGGGTAGTTGTGCTAGTTGTTGTTGGAGGTGTTGGAGTTGTGCTTGGTGTTTGTGTTGTTGAACTTTGAGGAGTGGGGGTAGTTGTGCTAGTGGTTGTGGGAGGTGTTCGTGTTGTGGTACTTGGAGGAGTGGGGGTAGTTGTGCTAGTGGTTGTGGGAGGTGTTGGAGTTGTTCTTGGTGTTTGTGTTGTACTTGGAGGTGTGGGGGTAGTTGTGCTAGTTGTTGTTGGAGGAGTTGGAGTTGTGCTTGGTGTTTGTGTTGTTGAACTTTGAGGAGTGGGGGTAGTTGTGCTAGTGGTTGTGGGAGGTGTTCGTGTTGTGGTACTTGGAGGAGTAGGGGTAGTTGTGCTAGTTGTTGTTGGAGGTGTTGGAGTTGTGCTTGGTGTTTGTGTTGTTGAACTTTGAGGAGTGGCGGTAGTTGTGCTAGTGGTTGTGGGAGTTGTTCGTGTTGTTGTACTTGGAGGAGTAGGGGTAGATGTGCTAGTGGTTGTTGGAGTTGTTGGAGTTGTACTTGGAGGAGTTGGGGTAGTTGTGCTAGTGGTTGTGGGAGGTGTTCGTGTTGTGGTACTTGGAGGTGTGGGAGTAGTTGTGCTAGTTGTTGTTGGAGGTGTTGGAGTTGTGCTTGGTATTTGTGTTGATGAACTTTGAGGAGTGGGGGTAGTTGTTCTAGTGGTTGTGGGAGGTGTTCGTGTTGAGGTACTTGGAGGAGTAGGGGTAGTTGTGCTAGTGGTTGTGGGAGGTGTTGGAGTTGTGCTTGGTGTTTGTGTTGTACTTGGAGGTGTGGGGGTAGTTGTGCTAGTTGTTGTTGGAGGAGTTGGAGTTGTGCTTGGTGTTTGTGTTGTTGAACTTTGAGGAGTGGGGGTAGTTGTGCTAGTGGTTGTGGGAGGTGTTCGTGTTGTGGTACTTGGAGGAGTAGGGGTAGTTGTGCTAGTTGTTGTTGGAGGTGTTGGAGTTGTGCTTGGTGTTTGTGTTGTTGAACTTTGAGGAGTGGCGGTAGTTGTGCTAGTGGTTGTGGGAGGTGTTCGTGTTGTGGTACTTGGAGGAGTGGGGGTAGTTGTGCTAGTGGTTGTTGGAGGTGTTGGAGTTGTACTTGGAGGAGTTGGGGTAGTTGTGCTAGTGGTTGTGGGAGGTGTTGGAGTTGTGCTTGGTGTTTGTGTTGTACTTGGAGGTGTGGGGGTAGTTGTGCTAGTTGTTGTTGTTGTAGGAGTTGGAGTTGTGCTTGGTGTTTGTGTTGTTGAACTTTGAGGAGTGGGGGTAGTTGTGCTAGTGGTTGTGGGAGGTGTTTGTGTTGTGGTACTTGGAGGAGTAGGGGTAATTGTGCTAGTGGTTGTTGGAGGTGTTGGAGTTGTGCTTGGTGTTTGTGTTGTTGAACTTTGAGGAGTGTGGGTAGTTGTGCTAGTGGTTGTGGGAGGTGTTCGTGTTTTGGTACTTGGAGGAGTGGGGGTAGTTGTGCTAGTGGTTGTGGGAGGTGTTGAAGTTGTGCTTGGTGTTTGTGTTGTACTTGGAGGTGTGGGGGTAGTTGTGCTAGTTGTTGTTGGAGGAGTTGGAGTTGTGCTTGGTGTTTGTGTTGTTGAACTTTGAGGAGTGGGGGTACTTGTGCTAGTGGTTGTGGGAGGTGTTCGCGTTGTGGTACTTGGAGGAGTAGGGGTAGTTGTGCTAGTTGTTGTTGGAGGTGTTGGAGTTGTGCTTGGTGTTTGTGTTGTTGAACTTGGAGGAGTAGGTGTAGTTGTGCTAGTGGTTGTGGGAGGTGTTGGAGTCGTGCTTGGTGTTTGTGTTGTGGTAGTTGGAGGTGTGGTGATAGTTGTGCTAGTGGTTGTTGTAGGTGTTGGAGTTGTGGTACTTGGAGGTGTGGGGGTAGTTGTGCTAGTGGTTGTGGGTGGTGTTGAAGTTGTGCTTGGTCTATGTGTTGTGGTACTTGGAGGTGTAGGGGTAGTTGTGCTTGTGGATGTTGAAGGTGTTGGAGTTGTGCTTGGTGTTTGTGTTGTTGAACTTCGAGGAGTGGGGGTAGTTGTGCTAGTGATTGTGGGAGGTGTTGGAGTTGTACTTATAGAAGTAGGGGTAGTTGTGCTAGTGGTTGTGGGAGGTGTTCGTGTTGTGGTACTTGGAGTAGTAGGGATAGTTGTGCTCGTGGTTGTAGGAGATGTTGGAGTTGTTCTTGGTGTTTGTGTTGTTGAACTTTGAGGATTAGGCGTAGTTGTGCTTGTAGTTGTGGGAGGTGTTGGAGTCGTGCTTGGTGTCTGTGTTGTGGTAGTTGGAGGTGTGGTGATTGTTGTGCTAGTGGTTGTGGGAGGTGTTGGAGTTGTGGTATTTGGAGGTGTGGGGGTAGTTGTGCTAGTGGATGTTGAAGGTGTTGGAGTTGTGCTTGGTGTTTGTGTTGTTGATCTTTGAGGAGTGGGGGTAGTTGTGCTAGTGGTTGTGGGAGGTACTGGAGTTGTACTTATAGAAGTAGGGGTAGTTGTACTAGTGGTTGTGGGAGGTGTTTGTGTTGTGGTACTTGGAGTAGTAGGGGTAGTTGTGCTAGTGGTTGTTGGAGGTGTTGGAGTTGTGCTTGGTGTTTGTGTTGTTGAACTTTGAGGAGTGGGGGTAGTTGTGCTAGTGGTTGTGGGAGGTACTGGAGTTGTACTTATAGAAGTAGGGGTAGTTGTACTAGTGGTTGTGGGAGGTGTTTGTGTTGTGGTACTTGGAGGAGTAGGGGTAGTTGTGCTAGTGGTTGTTGGAGGTGTTGGAGTTGTGCTTGGTGTTTGTGTTGTTGAACTTTGAGGAGTGGGGGTAGTTGTGCTAGTGGTTGTGGGAGGTGTTGGAGTTGTGCTTGGAGGAGTAGGCGTAGTTGTGCTAGTGGGAGGTGCTGGAGTTGTACTTATAGAAGTAGGGGTAGTTGTGCTAGTGGTTGTGGGAGGTGTTGGAGTTGTGCTTGGTGTTTGTGTTGTGGTACTTGGAGGAGTAGGGGTAGTTGTGCTCGTGGTTGTAGGAGATGTTGGAGTTGTGCTTGGTGTTTGTGTTGTTGAACTTTGAGGAGTAGGCGTTGTTGTGCTAGTGGTTGTGGGAGGTGTTGGAGTTGTGCTTGGTATTTGTGTTGTTATTTTCTCTGATGTTCTTGATGGTTCTAAACTTGTTGATATTTTCTGTGTCACTAGAGGAAAATATAAAAATTATCACAAAACTGTATTAAAATATTTTTTCTAGTGGTAACCCTTAGTTCATCTATATGTTTGTGTTTAATTATGTTTAAATATAAAATCATTATTGATATTTAAATTAAAAGTGTTCAAATATGTGAACGTTTGGAGATGGTGAAAAAAATTAGCTATACGCTATTTACTTCCCTTCACTCGTAATTTAATTTTTTTTTTTCTCTTTACTTTGGAATGATATATAAAAAAAAAAAAAAGTTTTAGTTCTAAATTTCCCTCTACATTGAACTGATTACTTTAAGGGAACAATCCAAGCATGATGACCAGTTTCACCCGCTGTAGGTTTAGTCCCGTCTACAATTCCAGAATTCAGGGGTTACCCTGTTGTCTTTAAAGTGTTTTTTCATTTCTTTCTAAAAACACCTTAGACACAACTGGGTAATCCATAAATCCTGGACTGTTAGTGGGTAGTTGAGGGCTGGGTTGGGAACCACTGCTATACGGCAATTTTATGCTTTTCCTTCAAGGCAGACCACATCAGCTTACCTACATTTCCAGGATTATCCAAAATGTTGTAGCATATTCTCTTGACTTAAAAAGCAATATTGGTAGACTATTTTCCTACCTCCATATCACCATGGTAATTGTTGATGTCATACATTTTCTCCACACTGTCATCTTAAGAGAATGATTATTTGAGTCAGATTCTGCTTAGATACTTGAGAATAGATTATATTGGATAGTTGTGTATTAAAGGAAGTGATATATACCAAAACTAGCCAAAGGGGTCAGATGGTAAAGATCCCCTAATACCCTACCGACAATAAATGGTGCCCTGTCAAAACCCTCCTAACTATCGGGCCCCTGTTCACTTTTGCTCGGAGCATCCTCTACTATCTTTACACGGCAATACTCTCACAACAAGAAAATTCATACCTTATGTCAGGATACTACTTGTAAGTTTAGGTCTGAATCCGGTCAATTATTCAAGTCACTCGTTCGGTGAATCAGTGCAGTGACTGCTGCCTCCAGTAAAAATATACCTGTACATTTTATTAAAACATTAGGACGGTGGAAGTCATCTGCTTACGCCAGATACATACCTCAACCTGCTCTGGAAATCCGCCAAGCCTTCCATAATATTACATAGTTACATAGATGAAAAGAGACGTGCGTCCATCAAGTTTAGCCTTCCTCACATTTGTATAGCTATATCAGGAGAGAAAGCTGTCATCATACCCCTTGGTTGAACAATGCTCCCAAAGGGCAGTTTCTAAGAATCAGAAGAAACTGTACTAATGACCAAGACTTCTTAGAACAAGCAAATAAGATAAAAACCCAATTTTTAGAAAAAGGATATGATGAGACCACCCTCCAATTAGCTTTAAGCAATGTACAACAAACACAAAGAACTAATTTACTAACATATAAAAATAAGAAAAAGAATATAAGTTGGAGTAATGACATCCCATTTATATGTAACTACCATGGTAATAATAGAAAAATTAATAAAGTTATAAATAAACACTGGCATATTTTAAGGGATGATCCGGTACTTAAAAAATTGTTACCAGAAAAACCTAGAATAATTTTTAGAGCCGCAAAAAACTTAAAAAACACCTTAGTCAAACGTAGCAATAAAGAAAAAATCGTCGAAAAAGACAAAAACTTTTTTTCGATGGACAAAGGATTCTATGGATGTGGGTACTGTTTAGCATGCAGGAACACGAAAAGTAAAAAAAGACATCTTATTGATCTAGAACCTCATATAGACAAAAAATTTACCATAAGAGACCACTTAACGTGCCATTCCAAGGGGGTCATTTATGTCTTAAAATGCGCATGCAACCTCCTTTATGTAGGCTGCACTATTCGAAGTTTAAATACTAGGGTAGCAGAGCACATAAGAAACATCAAAAATGGTATTGAGACCCACAGTGTCCCGAATCACTTTAAAAAAGTACATAATCGGGATCCAGAAGGAATGTTTTTTTGTGCAATAAAGCAAGTAAAAAAAGATTGGAGAGGAGGCGACTATATAAATAAGATAGGGAAAGAAGAGATGAAATTTATATTTGATTTTAATACCATGACGCCAAATGGTCTAAACAACGACTTCGAACTATATCGTTTTATGAATTAGTTTTTATATTTATACATATATGGCTATATAATTTTACACTATATAGAAAGGAGATTGATTGCACATTGCTTTTTGCACTTGTTAAATACAACAGCACCCCCTTTTTCCTTTTTTTTTTTTTTTTCTCTTTCTCATAGCACTGATTTCATATTACAAAATACAATAACTTTTATGGGTTATTATTTTTTATATATATATTATTTTTTATATATATATATATTTTTTATATTTCATAAGACATTTTATGCTTTTACATATCAATCAAAAAGTATTTTTTACTCTTGTGTGATTTTATAGAGAAGAATATATATATGTATTATATAGGAAGGGGACCCTAATGGATTGCACATTGCTCTTTACACTAGCACCTTTATTTATCTATAGCCAAAATTTCCTTTTCTATGGGCTATCTTTGGATATTGAAAGGTATTTTTTATGTGTTATAATTTGTTTTACATATGCTATATTATTCTGCCCTCTTTCCTAGCCGGCATTAAGAACGTTTTGGAACGCACGTGCGTTCCATTTGGGGAACTAGGAAGTGATAATAGAGTCAGTAGCACAGAATATAGCAGGAACGCATGAGCGTTCCATTTTGACGAAATCCGGAAATAGATGCTGACGCATAGAACACAGTTGGAACGCACGTGCGTTCCATATTGACGTAATCCGTAAGTAGATGCTGGCGTTGGAACGCACGGTGCGTTCCAACACATGAGAACCCGGAAGTGACCTTCAAAAATATCGGGTGGGACATTTAAAAGGGAACAAGGAAGACTAAACTCCTACAACCAACTGAGGAAGCCAATTTTACAGGCGAAACGCGTTTTGGACTTGATTAGAAATTGGCCATTTTATTGGACATTGATTTTTAATATATTTTTTAATTGTTAAGTATATCAGCCATTTTTGATATATTGTATATACATTTTTTATTGGAATAAAACCACATTTTTAAAAAGACAAGTGGTGGATTCAACATTTCTTATAGGAAGACCTGCATAAGAACCACAAGGGGGAATACCGGAAATCCAGGAACAAAAGGGTCTGGACAACCCCCTAATGGTCCAAAGGAGGATACATTTAGAGTCATATGACGGTATGACTCTGATTTTGTGAGTGGAATTTCATTTCTTCTTATTATACAGATTGAATAGACATACTACACTATTTTGTGTATATTCAATTTTGTTTGTTTTGTATGTATCTTATGTATTTGTAGTGGTGTAGGGGATACCACTTATTAGGTGTATTTGAGCTGCTAAATTCTTATTTCTTCGTCCACTTTGTGTACATTTCCTTTTCACATTGACAGGGGAGCTGACCGGACCGGAGGAGAGAGAAGGGAGCTGACAGGAGCTGCAGAAAAGGTAAGTTACAGCTCTCTGCCAGCCCCCAACAGGACCGCTGGGCTTGTAATGATCCCGGCAGGCCTTGTCTGTATTATGGCAATGTAAGTTGCCATAATACAGACACTCACTCGAGTATAAGACGAGTGGGGGTTTTTCAGCACAAAAAATGTGCTGAAAAACTTGTCTTATACTCAAGTATATACGGTATATTCATTCCAGTAGTTCCTTTCATACAAGCTGTAACAAGTAAAGTGCCTGGTGCATACAGCCTGGGCCAATCTGTGTAGAAAAGTCAGTGGAACAGCTTGCACTCACAGTCTTCAAATGGTTAAAAAAATTAAATTTTATTTAAAAAGATGGTTAAAAAATATCAACGTTTCAGTCCCAGTCCGGGACTTTCATCAGGATCAAGGATGATGAAACTCCCGAACGGGGACTGAAATGTCGATATTTTTAAAACCTCTTTTTCAATAAAATAAATTTTTTTAACCATTTGAAGACCGTGGGTGCAAGTTGTTCCATTGACTTTTATATATATATCTTAAAATATATTTTAAGCTAAATCCCCCAAAAACCTTTTGAGAAATGTAGATTATGTTTTACAGTGCGCAGATGTTGGATAGAGAAACACTGTCATATTACCAAAAGTGAGATCTGTAGGGAATTCAAAGTGAATTATGGTCATTGCAAGCATCATAACTACTACAGCACACTGAAGCCAAGAGTGTCCTGGCTTACCCCAATGTAAGTAGTCAAACCATAGCTAATGGTTTGACTTTTTACTTGAAGTCCATTGGGTGCGGTTTAAGCTGGAAGTGAGAGTTGTAAACTCCTTCTCGGAGCTTCTATTAGCTCTCCTGAACAAAGCCCCCCATTGGCTGAATGCACCAACGGATCATTTTTAGTCTATGAGAAAAGACCTGCACTGTCGGACTTAGTTCAGTGAACTGTGATTCTAACTATGAGGAGTTATCGATCCATGTCTGGCAACCTCTTGGTAAACAAAGGTCAAACCTTTGGAAAATGGTTTGACTGCTTACACTGGGGTTTCCAGTCCACGCCTGGCACTATAACTACTACAGTTTTGATGGTGGTTATGGAGTGTTCTTTTAAGGCCAGAATAGCCACACTGGAGACATTCTCCAATCAGTTATGCTTCCAGTTTGGCTACTTATAGTTGAAACACTTTTAATTCTATAAATTCTCACTTTAATGAATAGTCATGTGGAGGTTTTCCTACAAAGAAGGAAACTGGGCAACAGGCTTCACATTACAAAACCGATTATAAAGCAGAGGTTATAATTTGAATTAATGATGGGAATATAGATATCTATCAATAGAAATATTTATTTATAGCATTTGCCTTCAAATGTGGCATAATGCATATTGCCAAAGCATAAATATAAAAACTGGGCTAGACATCTTATTGTAGTATTGAAGTAGAGGGTTTGCAGATTGTTAGATACTTGCATTAAAGAGACACTCTATGCGCCAAAAGCTGAGTTGGTGTACAGATCATGTTTGTTATCAATTCTCTGCTATTTAAGAGTTAATTCACTTTTGTTTCTGTTTCTGCAGCCCTAGCCACAACTCCCCTGCCTTTGACTCACAGCCTCTCTGAAAGAAAGGGTTAATTTAAAAATGATCTTTCTGCACAGTGGGTGAGATTTAACTTCAAAATTAAACATGCCTTGCAATAAGGGAAGTTTAAACATTAGACCTCTTATTTAGAAAATGTCTATGGAGGCTGTCTGAGTCTCTCACATGGGAGGTGTGGCTAGGGCTGCATAAATAGGCTTACCATTTTCACCATATTTTAAGGGACACATAATTAAGCCATATTTATGAAAATGCATGAAAAGGGTTGCCCTGCAGTATGTATATTCTGAAGGATTCTTCATTGCCTAGTTGCTTAAAGGGGCAATATAGTCACCCAGACCAGCTCAATGAAGTGGCCTGGGTGCCAGGTCCCTCAAGTTTTAACCCTTCAGATGTAAACATAGCAGTTTCAGACATACTGCTATGTTTACATTTGTGGTTACTCCAGCCTCTAGTGGCTGTCTTCAGGACAGCCACTAGAGGCGCATCTGCGATGCTGGATGCAAATTTTTGCATCCATCGCGCAGAGCGCCCATAGGAAAGCACTGAGAAATTTCCTATAGACTC